AATCGAAATAAAAAAACAATATTTGTTAAGAAACTTGAAGGCTTGGATTAAAATATCAAAATAGTGGCAAGTTTAGCTTCGATGTGGTAGTCAAAGTGTTGGAAATATTTGTTTAGCATTAACAGGAACATTTCATAATTAATGATTGGTTTTTCATTTCAAGGAATCGAATAATGAGTAACTTGGATAATTTGAGTAATTTGAATAATTTCAGTAATTGGAATAATCTGAATAGTCTGAGTAATCTGAGTAGATTGAGTAGTCTGAGTAATCTGAGTAATCTGAGTAATCTGAGTAGTTTGAGTAATCTGAGTAATCTGATTAACCTGAGTAGTCTGTGTAATTTGAGTAGTCTATGTAATCTGAGTAATCTGAGTAATCTGAGTAACCTGAGTAGTCTGTGTAATTTGAGTAGTCTATGTAATTTGAGTAGATTGAGTAGTATGAGTAATCTGAATAACCTGAGTAGTCTGAGTAACCTAAGTAACCTGAGTAATCTGAATAATCTGAGTAACTTAAGTAACTTGAGTAACTCGAGTACCTTCAATAACTTGAGTAACTTGAGTGGTTTAAGTAGTTTGACCAACTTGAGTATTTTGGTGATTCGAGTGATTTAGCTCGAGAAACTTTGACAGTTCAAATAACCTGAATAATATATATATAAAATAATGATCAAATAACCAGCCAACCAAATTATAATTAAAAATCGTACAAATGTCCCTTACTTAATTTCCTATCAAATATAAAAAGCAATTGTCTTCGCGTATAATAAAATCTGTATTCAATTGTACAATTCTTTTCTGGCTTAAAACCCGACACTGAGTTAATTAACGTTTGCGTAAAATTTCAGATCCTTTGTTACACATTTGTGTACGAGTACCGATATTTTCCGGCCTTGTTAAATCACGAACTTCAGTTGTAACTTCTTTGAACATAATTCCCATTTTCGAAACGAAATCTCGCAAAAGAGGAGCAGTTCCTTTGTTCCTGTTTCGAGCGTCACTCGAATCCTTCGCATCGAACGGGACCGACCTTCGTCGAAGATCGTAATAAAGGAATTAATTAAACGAGGTATAAAATTTCATAATGACGGACCGGCCGGTTTTACTTCGAGCCGAAGCTGAATATTTTTCCTTCATTGTCGGCCGTTTAATTAATTCATTCCATTTCCAGAAAGCCGACCGATTCGATCTTGCTACAATCATGTATCAATTTTTTTCTTTCCCTGCTCGTTTCTTGCGCGACACCGTGTTTCATTTTTCCCGGCAAAGCTTATCGGAATAGCAATTTATACCCGTACCCTCGATTCAATTAACCGAAAAATTAATCGAGTTATCCGGGGATCATTAACGGGAATAAAAGCACGAAATTTCGAAAATCGTCTTCCTCGAGAACCCGTATATTTCCAGGGGTTTAATCAGAGATGAAAAGAGCCGTCGTTCCGAGGCGCGAGTTTCGACGAAGAAAAAAACCCGAACTCGTTAGATTCCGTACGCAACAGATACGACCCACAGATTCTGCCGATCTCTATTTTAGGAGACGCTAACTAATTTCTCCGTCTGCTTCTCATTAAATTGCGCTTTGACCTCGAATCTTCTAAATTTGGAACGGTCCTCGATTAGGTGTATATTCATCGAACCCACACGATTCCACTTTTCTGATCATGTTCACTATATTTCATGTATCAATATTCACGTACACAGAATGTTTGAATTCTGATGAATTTGTTAACTCATATGTTACATATGAATATGTCAAGCCATATGTTACATATGATTATGTTAAGTCATATGTTACATATGATTATGTTAAGTCATATGTTACATACGAATATGTTAATTCATAAGTTACACATAGTTACACATGTTATGTCATATGTTAAACGTAGTTACACGTATCTATAACATATGTGTACATATGTGTACAAATATAATTGCGTTCGCTATTATTATAATTGCAAGAGTGAATGTGAATAATCATGCGAACGACAGTATCGAATAATTATATCAGAGAAAGAGAAACGATAGAAAATTGTATATGACATTAACGCGTTAAGTGCCGCAATAAAAATAAGTGTTCGTCGCACGGCACTAATACTCAATATTCACGCAAGGTAATAAACGGGAAGCTTAACTGGAAAAATTAATTAAATGATCGTATGTGGAGTAATAGTAATTCCTGCATACTGTTGTATCGTTACCTTCGCACGGATTTTTACGTGTATTAGCACTGCTATCATTATTATAAAATACGAAAAATAAATTTGACAGATAAATTTTAGTCGAATCTAATGAAATAATAAAACCTAGTTAAATCTAATTTGATACAAAATCTTATTAAATTATATTGTGTTTAAAGTTTTATCAAGAATGAATAGGTTTAAACAATAAAATTGCAACTTAAATTAAGGTGAGTTAGTTTAAGTCAAAAATAAGTGAACTTGAACGATAAATTATATGTTAATAATTTTAATATAGTACTGCTAAATATCAAAAAGATATCGATAGTGTATAAATAATCAATCACAGTGCTGATAATTATAACGATGCAGATCACAGAATACAGTCACGCCTTGTATTACCACGTGTAACATAGCGATGCATCCTATCGTCACGTGCCGAAACGTCATGTGTGGTATCGTCACGCGTGGTAACGTCACGTGTAGTATCATCAGGTGCTGCAATGTCACGCATGATATCACGTGTTGTAATACTGTTATAAATCATACGTGGTATCGTCACGTGTTGTAATGTCACACGTGGAATTATCGTGTGTCGTAATTCCACCCGTAGTACTATCATGCGTGGCATCATTCTATTGTGTTACATAACGCTTAGCATCGCCACGCGTTATATTGCCATATGTTATGCATATGTCCACACATAATTCCGTAGCGCGCTGTAATCTGACGCTTAGTATTACGCGATGGAAAGTCACGTATGGAATTGCTATGCATTAGACTACTACGCGCAGTATTGCCACGCGCTATATTACCATGCGCTATATTACCACGCGTTATGTCATCACGCGTTATATTACCACGCGTTATATTATCGCGCGTTATATTACCACGCGCTATATTATCACGCGTTATATTACCACGCGTTATATTACCACGCGTTATATTACCACGCGCTATACTACCACGCGCTATATTACCACGCGTTATATTACCACGAGCTATATTACCACGCGTTATACTACCACGCGCTACATTACCACGCGCTACATTACCACGCGCTACATTACCACGCGCTACATTACCACGCGCTACATTACCACGCGCTACATTACCACGCGCTACATTACCACGCGCTACATTACCACGCGCTACATTACCACGCGCTACATTACCACGCGCTACATTACCACGCGCTACATTACCACGCGCTACATTACCACGCGCTACATTACCACGCGCTACATTACCACGCGCTATACTACCACGCGCTACACTACCACGCGCTACATTACCACGCGCTATAATACCACGCGCTATACTACCACGCACTATATTACCACGCATTATATTACCACGAGCTATATTACCACGCGTTATACTACCACGCGCTATACTACCACGCGCTACACTACCACGCGCTACATTACCACGCGCTACATTACCACGCGCTATAATACCACGCGTTATATTACCACGCATTATATTACCACGCGTTATATTACCACGCGCTATATTACCACGCGTTATATTACCACGAGCTATATTACCACGCGCTATATTACCACGCACTATATTATCACGCGGTATACTACCACGCGCTACACTATCACGCGCTATATTACCACGCGCTACACTACCACGCGCTATATTACCACGCGCTATACTACCACGCGTTATATTACCACTAATATTACCGTGACGCGCTATAATTTCATGGGTAGTAACCCTATGCGTTGTAGCACCACTAATAAGATCGCTATGCAACACCACGGATTTGCACGTGCTATATTGCCACGCGTTATATCACCACATGTAATACCATACGTTATAATTTCATAGATATGACAATAATAATCTATGTAATATCAGCAAGCCATAATTCCATACGTAACATCACTCGCGTTATATCGCCATGTTCATCTCGCCAATTAATTCGTCATCAAATCCCCCACAGTACTCAAATTACACGTAAGACGATTATTTCATAATTGAAGCGATTGCACTGCTCCACCCGATGGCAATATAACGGTTCTTTTTACACTCACAATAAACCAGCACCGCGTTTAAAATAATTAATATCGATCGATCGATGAAAAGTTGTTCGAATGCAAACGAGGCGGTAGTAAATAATATCTGGTTGCTGAAGTAGACTAAACGAACACAGCGTATAATCAATGGCAGAGTGTCACCGTATAGTGACAGCTTCCTAGATTGCAGGTATTTCGCTCGAACGGAATGTTGATTGCTCTTGGATACTTGGCGCTAACGTGTCTACCTGTCTCGCGATGGTCATCGATGTGCCGTGACTGACACAACTAATTTAACCTCATTAAACGTTTACCGACCAAAGAAAAAGAAGATACACGATACCGGTAATTCGTTTTGAAACAAAAGCAGCCGTGTAAGACAAGTTCGTTTATTCGATTCGGTGAATATTTCAGGCTACGAGGATCCTTCGGTGGTGCACTACGAAACACTTGTTAATCGATACGAGCACAAATCAGAGAATTAATTGGACGAGTAATCAGGTGCGTCTGCGAACTAACGAAGCTCGAAAAGCGAACTTCGCAAGGTTTAATCCACTTTCGCGATTAATCAACGATCACGCGTCGGAGAGGTTCGCAACTATAAATTGCCTCGATTATTTTCTATAATTTAACTCGGATTTTTTGCGATGTCTGCTATTTTTAGGTTAATTCGGATTTAATCATTTATGTCGTATTAGTAAACGTAGTCTGTGTATTTGTAATACACAGTACGTAAACTTTTAAGGATGAGCTTCAATTTCGAAGATGTGAATTTGAAATTGTTCACTCACCTTTTGTAGTCATTTTTGCAGAGGATCATTCCGCACCTGGTGTAGCACGAGTGACCGATTTCCGCCAACGTTACACTGCAACACGAGCACTTTAGGCAAGCATTGTGCCAATACCGATCCATCGCGAGCAACAGCCATCTTTCTACTATTTGGCCGCCGCAACCGGCACACTGTTGGATCCCCGTTGGTCCGCTTGGACCACCCTCTTGCTGTAACAGATAAACAAATATTTACTTCATCTCTGTTGCTTTTATCGATTATTTAATGTTTAACATTTTTTAAGTTCTTTTATCGTCAACGCTATCGATCAAGTTTTAGCATAGACTCTGTTCATTAAGTTTTATCACAATCAGAATTAAAGTTAGAATTAAAGTGCAAGTTTAGTTTGAGACTGAAGTAATCGGATATGTAATTTTGTATGGTTTATAAACTTGTTTGTAGATGTATTTACATATATGTTTGTATATGTGTTTATGCATATGTTTATACATATGTTCACAGTGTATGATATGTTCATACATATGTGTATATAATTACATATGTTTATACATATGTTTATAGATAGGTTCATAGCGTACATGTTTATAAATATTTTTATAATGTAAGATATATTTATAAATATATCCATAGTGAATGATATGTTTATACATATGTTCACAGTGTATGATATGTTCATACATATGTGTATATAATTACATATGTTTATACATATATTTATAGATATGTTCATAGTGTACATGTTCATAAATATGTTTATAATGTAAGATATATTTATAAATATATCCATAGTGAATGACATGTGTCTACATATGTCTACAGTGTACGATATGTTTATACATATGTGCATGTTATTACATATAATTGCGTTCATAAACGAACATCCTGTATCTCAAAAAAGTGGCTTTAATTTTGAAGATTGAATTGTCCAACAGTCACGACTCGCAATTTCTCAGAATATCTTCGCGATTTACAGAATCGATTCACGGTATTATCAATCGAACAGGGTTTCCGTAGTAAATGATTCAAAGCTAGCCAAGGTAAGTGTATCACAATTACAGGGTTATCGTGCATAAAGGCGTATCACTGTCAATTACATGAAATCGTACGTTTGCGTGCGACTAATCATCAAACGGAAGAAACACCGCGGAAGACAGAAAAAGAATCGACATCGGTGTTCGATTATGCAATGAGACTGTTTCGATGTAATAATACGTTGCTGTCCAGTCAGACAACCAGTCCCCGTTTTCCTATTAAGGGTTTATCAAACCTACAATAAATCTGTTAGTAATTTTTAGACTAATTCTACTATTTTCAAGGTTTATTTATATCTCAGTTTTTTTAGTATTCGTTGATATTTAGGTTGTTTAATATTTTTGATTATCTACTTTAATTCATATATATTCAACTTTAATATTTATTAATATCTACGTTTTTTAGTATTTTTTAATATCTACGCTTTTTAATATTCATTAACATATACGTATTTTAATATTTTTCAATATCTACCCTTTTTAATATTCATTAATATATACGAATTTTAGTATTTTTTAATATCTACGCTTTTTAATATTCATTAACATATACGTATTTTAGTATTTTTTAATATCCACCCTTTTTAATATTCATTGATATCTAGGTATTTTAGTATTCATTAATTTCTACGTTTTTTAGTACCTATTAATGCCAGAACTTTGTTAATATACACATTCCTTAATATTTATTAATACCTGGATTTTCATAACATTCATAAGCAGCTACGTACTTCAATATTTTTTAATATACACGTTTTTTAATATTTATTAATATCTGCATTTTTGTAGTATTAATTGACACATATGTATTTTAACATTTGTTAATATCTATGTTTTTTATTATTTTTTTTTAAATTTGAATATTCATAATATTCATAAATAGCTACCTATTTTAATATTGTTTTATGTAAACGTTCTTTAATATTTATTAATATCTACTTTTTTAAATATTCATTAACATCTACGTTTCTTAGTATTCATTAATATCTACGTTTCTGAATATTCATTAGTATCTACTTCCTGCGATATAAATATGAATATTATAGAACGTAACCAAACAATTAGAATAAATTATTTACTATCAGTAATTTTCCACATTGTTAATATATTCTTTATTGTGATAAAGATTTCTCAGTGAAATCCTTGAAACAGTGAAATTAGTGATATTTTATTAACTCGTTTAAAGAATATCTGGCAATTAATCTGTTTGCCAAGAAGTGTAATTAAAAAATAAGATGCGTTCGTAAATACATGAATTTCTAAGATCATTAATTTCGCAGCAAAAATATTTATAAGTCTACAATTTCTTCAAATTAATTAGGAACATGCAATTAACACTAAATAACGTAAAAGCATCGACTTATATTTACATAAGATAAAATCGTGGTAATTAATATTAATTATAGGCACATCAAATCAAATGTAATTCGTCTGTTATTCTATATTACACTTTAAAATTGATTTATTTTTAAAAAGGACCAAAATTCTGGGATGAATATTTCATTTTATGAAGAAGTGCAAGAAGACATTTTACCACGTGACTTCGCCATTACAGTGTTGCCACGTTTTCACTTATGTGAAGCATACAATTATTAATTTATAATTAATTTCATGAAAACTGTTTGATAATAGTCAACAAAATTTTGCAAATGTTTTATATTAATGATAGAGCTATTATTATATATATTTAAATTAATCCAGACCTTACTATTATTATTTGTTTGGTATTAACCTAAAACTTGTACCAATACTTTATGTTAATCAAGAGACTGTTATTAAAATTTACTTTATATTAATCAAGAAACTATTATTAAAATTTACTTTATAATAATGCACAGCTATAAGTATCTACTTCTTATTAATCCAGAACCTATATTAATTATATTGTACATAATGAAAGTATTAGACGAGATGTATTGAGCTCCTCAACGTCCCCTAACCTAAAATACCAACCAATTAATAATTCGTCCAAAACCTGATTGTAACGAAATCTAACTGTAACAAAATCTAATTGTAATAAAATCTAATTATAACAAAATCTAACTGTAACAAAAATTGTTAACCAATAAACCATTCACTGAATCCAAAATTTTCTGCAATGATTCATGAAGGCATAACCTCCAAAATTTTCACGAACGTTCCATTTTAAAATAGGTCCACTCAAGAGTAAAAGAGACAATCGTAATTAATACAAAATCGAAAGTCATTAAGTGACGATAAATCATCGCGGAGTATCGAGCAAGCAATCTCGATGAACACTTAATCGCGATTATGTAAACGACGGTAAGCGTGAATAATCGCGGTCGACGTCGCTGATTATTAAAATATACGGCTGTCTGGTAAACGTCGTCGAGTAAAATTCGTCGTTTGCGGCGTAAAAACGTGTTCGATTCTACGATCACGTCTATAAATTCTGCTCAAGGTATCTCTTGCCTCTTTATTCCTCGACGATTTGCCACGAAACGCGTCTCATATTTATTGCTTGCTAATCTCTCGCGGATATTTTAATATTTCCTTTAACATTCGTTCACGTCTGTTTTGTAATTTAACACTTCGACGATGGGAACGTTAAAAAAAAGTACTTTTTAATACACGAATTTACGTCACATTTTCCAAATCAATTTTCAAGATTGAAGTGCTCTTAACATATTTTTTTTGGAACGTTTATAATAATTTTTTTTTGTTGAGACGTTTTTAACTATCTTTCTGTTGAAACCTAATAATTTTTTTTTTAAACGTACCTAACAACTTTTTCCTTTTATACATTTGTAACTATTTCTTTGTTGAAACATATCTAGCAATTTTTTTTTTTGAAACATATTTAATAATTCTTTTGGTTGAACCGTTTGCAACAATTTCTTTTGCTAAAACGTTTATGACAATTTTTTCTTAAAATGTGTATATAATATTTTTATTAAAATGTTTTCCATAATTTTGTAATAACTGCCAGAATTAAAGTATATGTTAAATATATATTCAATTTCAACCCTGCAAGGTAATTATTAGATATAATTATTAGAAACGAAATAAGAGAACCTAAAAACTAATAAGTAATCAATTTTCTATCCCGTGCAACCGTAACGTCTGTACTAATCAGACATCGATTATTACACGAATAATTTAAGTCGGAGGTCTAATTATGATTAGCATCTATGCTTGGAACATTTCATTCAATTTATTAAAGCTCAGCAAAGCGTGTCCAAATAATATTACGTTCGTACTATACAATTTAGAAAGTCGAAAAAAATTATGATATAAGACACAATATTAACGTCTAATTAACAGTTTGATGGTTGAATATTTCGTGGAATCTTCGAGTTCTGCAATTATAATTGTTTTTTTATATTTAACGATTGACTGGGAAGATAGAGTGGGAATTTTCATAGTATTGAATCCCAATTTCCCTAATTTCCCAAATTCTCAAATTTCCAAATTTCCAAATTCCCAATTCTCCAAATACCCAAATTTTCAAATTCCCAATTCTCTAAATTTCCAATTCTCCAAATTCTCAATTCTCTAAATTCCCAATTCTCCAAATTCCCAATTCTCCTAGTTCCCAAATCTCCAAATTCCCAAATCTCCAAATTCCCAATTCTCCAAATTTCCAATTCTCTAAATTCCCAATTCTCCAAATTCCCAATTCTCCCAGTTCCCAAATCTGCGAATTCCCAATTCTCCAAATTCCCAATTCTCCAAATTCCCAATTCTCCAAATTCCCAATTCTCTAAATTCCCAAATCTCCCAATTCCCAAATCTCCCAATTCCCAAATCACCCAATTCCCAAATCACCCAATTCCCAAATCTCCCAATTCCCAAATCCCAAAATTCCCAAACCCTCAAACCCCCAAATCCCAAATCCCCCAACCCCAAAATTCCCAAAATCCCCAAATTCCAAATTTCCAAAAATTCCCAAAATCCCCAACACTCCCCTAACGAACTCTCCCCAGCCAATAGATCGACTTCGATCCGAAACGTCGCGAGGCATCAATCCACGATTCCCGTAAAAAGGAGTAGGCGAAGAAAAAGAGGGAGAGAGAGTTCAAGGTGGCCCATTCTCGCAAACGATGGGAAAAAAGAGTGTGTCTATAGAGGGCAACGCGTGCACCGACGGTAATTTATCGAGGAATTATCGTCGCGCGGAAAAATCGATTCCCTCTCTGTCGTGGAAAATCGTTTCCCTTCCACGTGCTCGCTTTTTATCGGACTTAACGACACTTCTTTCGCAATTACCGCGCAATTACAATCGTTGACTTAGTATAATCAAACGGAGCTCGCGCGATTGCTCGTAGGAGGCGAGTCCATGTTATGTCCGCGTTTAAACGACCGACACAAAAACGTACCATCGATGTGATTTATCGGAATGAAAAACTCGAACGCAATCAGCATCGTTTTCAAACAAATACGTGGATACATTGCAACGTACCACCGTGTTCGTTGTGCAATCGTTCACTCGTTGGAAAAATTTAATTAGTTCCCTGTAACGATTATTTAAGGAGTAAATTGGATACTTAAATTTACTTTTCGTTTAATCTGATTTGGAAAATATCGATTGTCGAATAAAAATCGGGGCTTCTGATTTTGTAATTTCTTCCGACAAAATTTTGTTCGTAAACTTTGCAATAAAAATTTAGAATTATATTCAAATATTTAGGTACAACGATAAGTTCTAGTTTGCGTTTTTATTTGGAACGGAATTCAATTTCATTTGTCCTCGAATACGACCCTTTAATTATCAAGCCTTTATTCGAGATCATAATTTATTGGAATAAGTAATTCATTGAATATTCATATGTTCGAAATTTGGGTCAAAAGGTTATTTGAAATAATTCCCAAGTCCGGTGTATTTACATAATTTTCATACGTGCTGGTATCTTTCAAAATTCTCTTTATTTCACATTCAATTGAACCGAATCAGTATTATCTACCGCTGCACAATACGAGTATTTTTCTATAATTTTAAATTCAATATACGTTTTATGGATTGGATCGAACAGAATGTAATGTTCGTATTTGACCATTCAATTTCAAATTATTGCTGCTGAAAAAACTGTTTATTATTTCTGTTTGAGATTTAATTGATTGAATATTTGCAGTGTGAAGTGAAATATTAATATAAAGACTGACGGGTCAATAATAACTCTAAATTAGGGTTGTTTCACACATAATTAAAAAGGAAGATGAAATATGAATTTTAAATAACATTGCAGCACGCCAAAACTTTTGTTGGAAGTTGAAATCCGATTACTTGGAAGAGTCAGAACTTTTAAACACACTAATACTTCTTTAAAATTTGAATATTTAATACTAATTTTAATTCTAACAGTAGTATAATAAATTTCAACACTGTTTCATATTTTGGATTAATCTCTCCATCCCCTTTGGCATCATCAATCACTCCCCTCAAAATATTAACCGATTACAACCTACTCGTACTACTAATTCCTATAAGATTCAGTTTACTATAACCCAATGAAACGCACCCTGAATCATCTACACATATGACAAACTACACCACCCGTATATCACGACGTACACCAAACCGAATAATCCAGAAATGACCAGCACAGCACAGGAAAATACGAGAAGAATTGGTGTCTGAAGCCGGAGTTAGCGGGGTCCGCTACCAAGAAGCGTGTCCGAGGGTTAACAACAACCACGAGGTAACAGAAAGTGTCTGCCTACTTCACCACACGGAAGCAAGAAGAAAAGCGAATCTTACAATTTTGTCGCCGGGAAAGCACTTCATCTGGTTCATCCGTGTGGTGATGGCGCTGTAGTGATGCGCGTGCACCTCCATGATCGAGCACAGCCTCCGACGTGTCCGAAAAAGCACTAACCGTCCGTGTACGTCTCAATCCCGTATTCACAGTTCGGATGATATCATTCGTCCTCGAGCGCGGATGTTCCAGCAACGAGCTGGCCACCTCGCAGCGAGCGATCGGTACTGGTTCCGATCATCCGAACGCGTTCAAATCCGCCGGATAGGTTCGAGGAACGCGACGAAAGACGAAGAGAGTCGGTACGCCGTCGGCAACCAACAGGTTTGCTCTCCTCGTAGACGTTGCGAGCGGAGCATCCCGCGCTCTAGGATCTGCTGAAGCACGCGATCAGGCCCCACCATGGAAATCGACACGACGGACGACGCGAGCACTCGCGGATAAGAAACGAACCGATCCCGACCGAAGCCATTCAATTTCAAATTATTGCTGCTGAAAAAACTGTTTATTATTTCTGTTTGAGATTTAATTGATTGAATATTTGCAGTGTGAAGTGAAATATTAATATAAAGACTGACGGGTCAATAATAACTCTAAATTAGGGTTGTTTCACACATAATTAAAAAGGAAGATGAAATATGAATTTTAAATAACATTGCAGCACGCCAAAACTTTTGTTGGAAGTTGAAATCCGATTACTTGGAAGAGTCAGAACTTTTAAACACACTAATACTTCTTTAAAATTTGAATATTTAATACTAATTTTAATTCTAACAGTAGTATAATAAATTTCAACACTGTTTCATATTTTGGATTAATCTCTCCATCCCCTTTGGCATCATCAATCACTCCCCTCAAAATATTAACCGATTACAACCTACTCGTACTACTAATTCCTATAAGATTCAGTTTACTATAACCCAATGAAACGCACCCTGAATCATCTACACATATGACAAACTACACCACCCGTATATCACGACGTACACCAAACCGAATAATCCAGAAATGACCAGCACAGCACAGGAAAATACGAGAAGAATTGGTGTCTGAAGCCGGAGTTAGCGGGGTCCGCTACCAAGAAGCGTGTCCGAGGGTTAACAACAACCACGAGGTAACAGAAAGTGTCTGCCTACTTCACCACACGGAAGCAAGAAGAAAAGCGAATCTTACAATTTTGTCGCCGGGAAAGCACTTCATCTGGTTCATCCGTGTGGTGATGGCGCTGTAGTGATGCGCGTGCACCTCCATGATCGAGCACAGCCTCCGACGTGTCCGAAAAAGCACTAACCGTCCGTGTACGTCTCAATCCCGTATTCACAGTTCGGATGATATCATTCGTCCTCGAGCGCGGATGTTCCAGCAACGAGCTGGCCACCTCGCAGCGAGCGATCGGTACTGGTTCCGATCATCCGAACGCGTTCAAATCCGCCGGATAGGTTCGAGGAACGCGACGAAAGACGAAGAGAGTCGGTACGCCGTCGGCAACCAACAGGTTTGCTCTCCTCGTAGACGTTGCGAGCGGAGCATCCCGCGCTCTAGGATCTGCTGAAGCACGCGATCAGGCCCCACCATGGAAATCGACACGACGGACGACGCGAGCACTCGCGGATAAGAAACGAACCGATCCCGACCGAAGTCAGCAGCGAACTGACTGGTCCGTGGTCGCTTTGGGCCTCTGAATGCCTGGCGAGGCCCCGGGTTCAGGTACCCCGGCCAGCCAGTCAGCCAGCAGGAGTGGGTCTGGTGGGGAGAATAAAAAGGTGAGCCTAGAAAGGACCTAACTAACGTTGAAAGGGGACAGGACCCATCCATAGCTACGTCCAGGTCGGACAAGGACGAGGATACGCTCGAGAGGAACGGGAGAGAGAGAGACGGGGCAAGTACTATGGAGCGAAACGCGCCGGGCAACGTGGAGGGGGTGGTCTTCGAGGTAAAGGGGCAACGGGGGGAGCCTGGCCTCCTCGCGGTCCCCTCCGCCCCTATTCAATTATATTTCTCCATGGTAAATGCCTATATTGTTACGTTTGTCAATGGCGAGCTAAGTGAGGGTCACGTAGATGGATAATACCTTCTGAATTTTAGCCTGCGACCCGGTTTGCCCCGACCTCCCGTTAGAATTATGGAAGGGAACATCACCTGTACGTTACGCCGATTCTGCGATGGGTGGAAAGTCGTTTCGGAGTTGATTCGTTGACGGGATCATCAGGAGCCTCTTCAGTCGCTCGATACGGACCTGATCGGGGATTTGCAAAGGTTGCTGAAGATGCTTTCGAATTTAACGCTGTCGTACGCCATTTAACTGGGGTTAACTTTTGAAGACGTGAATGGGTATTTATCTACCGTGATGGAAGGGAAATATGATTGTATGTCGTACTTGAAGTTCTTATTTTTACCATGCCGTACTTCTAACATACAAGTTCTTCTATATTTTTGCGACTTCATGATTCCCGTACAGATGCTTAGATCTCTAAAATCCCTTAGACTCCCATACTTCCTAGATCTCTATATCTCTATATTCCAAGGTACTTGTTAATAAGAAATTAGAGGGAGATTGAACAGTCGTGCTTACGTAATGAAAGACCAACGTTGGTTATTACGCGAACAATGAGCTACGTATTCGTGCGCTAGCCTTCCGGTTGAAAACTTTTTCTCGTGATCATCCTCGCGCGACCAGCCAGCGTAGAAAGTGCATTTTAATCGTACGAGGAGAACCGTTCGCGAGGTACGAGGTGTACTCCGCAACGAAGCGTTGCTTCAGAAACGGGGGTGTCGACAGTCGACGACACTCAACTTACCTCGTGAAGGCTTTCGTTTTAAGACATGATGTTTAATATAGTGACTTCTTATTTCCGTTACATTTGTAAGTACAGTGTGAACTGATCTGTACTGCATATATATTTTTCATTCTGAATATTGTACCACATATGGCAAATATAATGACTTGGCACCATATGTGACACTCCATAGGTGACACTGTATATGAATATACAGCAAACACGGTAATCCAAGATCAGTCACAGAAACGTATAGTAAACATGCTAACCCAAGACACCACATGTGGAATTACAGCAAATATGTTAACTCAGAATATCTCAGATAAACGTATGGAAGATATGTTAATTTAAGATACTTTATATGAAAGTGAAGCCTATCAGCTAACTTAAGACACCCTATATGAAAATGTAGTAGATAGGCTAACCCAAGACACCCTATATGAAAATGTAGTAAATAGGCGAACCCAAGACACCCTATATGAAAATGTAGTAAACAGTTTAATCTAATAAACTCGAAATGAAAGTGAAACCTACCGGCTAACCTAAGACACCTCATATGATAACGTAGCAAATAGGTTAACCCCCCATATGAAGATGTAGCAAATGGCTAATCTAAGACACTCCATATGAAAGTACAGTAAAAGTAGTTCCTATAAATATAAAAATATAGCAATTACCTTAAGCGTACAGTTGTTGTTGTGATTGACCGGAGGATAAGCCGGGTGTCCCGGCAAGTGTGGATGTGGGTGTCCAGGGTGATGCGGATGATCGGTCATCATTCCAGCACCGCCATGATGATGTCCATTGCTGCTCATACCTTGGCCAGGTTGCAGCGAGGCGTACGGGGTAGCTGGGTCAATGGCAGGTCCATGGGGTGGCGAATGTGGACTCGGCAAGTCTGGTGTCGTGGTGGTGCCACCACCGCCACCCCCGCCACCACCTCCACCGGTACTGTAGCCGTGATGGGGCCCGGAATGATGGGGACTGCTCGATAGCGAGGGGTGATGGGGGTAGGCTGCAGAATGGCCCGGATGGTGGGGGTTCATACCAGCGGTTAGAGCGCTCGCCAGCTTGACCGATGAGAGGGTGGGCCCGGCGAGCCCACCAACAGCTTCCCACGGCGAAAAAATGAAAGCTCGTGGCCTGGCTAACTGGAAGCTTAGTCGGACGAGGTTCTAATAGAACCGGCTCTCTTCTTCCGGTTCTTTGCCGATGTCTGAAAACAAACGAAAAGTTTTGTTAGATATTTTTATTAGTATTAGTAAAATTTTTATGACATGAGATGCACAATTTGGATCCAGGTTGTGCTGGATTGGTGAATTCCCAAAATTTCGGAGATTCTAAAAGTTCTGAAATATCAAACTCAAAAATCTAAATCGCAAAATTCAAAATTCCAAAATCTTAAATCCCCAAATTCTCAAGTTTCAATTCCCCAACTCCCTCACTATCAATCCCAGATCCCCAAATTTCCAAATCCCCAAATTCCAAAGCTTCAAATCCCCAATTCTCTAAATTTCCAATTCTCCAAATTCCCAATTCTCTAAATTCCTAATTCTCCAAATTTCCAAATCTCCAAATTCCCAATTCTCCCAGTTCCCAA